TCTGATTGGTTTAATGCATGTTATGCTCAAAACACACCCATAACTCATTAGGAAAAAAAGCACAACCCTGTTAGACCATGCGCCGTGGCCCAAACTGTATTTTTCCACCCTTAAAAATGGTAAAAGTGGATTCGGACATGCCCTTAATGCTTTTGCAACATGCGATTTAGACTTTGTGCCTAGATCATTAAACTAGAGCCCCTAGACTTTATTACCTCAACACCAACTGATTTAAATTTCAACTGATTTTGATTTAGCTGGGTGATAAAAAAACAACATGAATATTGTTGTCCAAAGTGGACTGTGGCATTACGTAATTCTCCCCCATCTTACTTATCAATCTTACTCCAATATACATACATCTATTATCAAAAGACTTTCTAAAAAAACAACCTAAATGTACAGTAAATGTTATGTAAAGAATAACTGATGGTAGGTAATTGAATTATTGGAAAATAATGCACATCCTAGGTGGTAATGTGTCATTGATGCATCTACTGTAATAATTCAACGGTCTAGAGTCAATTATTCTGCTCATACAATCATTACCACATAAGGGCATTGTTCGGATGTATTTTAAGACATTTGCCAACATGTGTAGGACTAGTTCCCTCTTAGCCAGTCTCTCAACAGAAACCAGTAAAATGGGGGATTCCTCTAAATAGACCAATCACTGTGAATATGGTTAAAAAGGGCTAATGACAATTGGCAAGTGAAATCCGGCAATTGTCAAAACTTTGCGGTGCGTCAAAACAAAAAACGAGCATGAGGCGTTTCTTTAAAAATGACACTTTTACGCCTGCCGTTTTGAATGCTGGTGGGCATGATCACATTGACGCCATTATTTAGTCATGGGGCATTAAACGTGTACGAAAAAGGCAAGCAAAAAAAACGACTCTGTGTGTTAAGCTTACCTTAAAGAATAAATGTTTAGTCACATTTAACATCTGACTTAAAAAAATGGTTATGTGCTTTTTATACAGTGTATGCTTCAGGCTTCAACTGTAAGTGGCACAAGCTCAGACACTAATATTTTAGTTTTATAACCAGATCTGAATGATGAGCAGTGTGTGCAGCGCAGCTCCTGTTTTTCAACTGGAGACTGAATCCACAAATGACAGTGAAAACTGTACTGTGCCAGAAGAAAGCCCTATGTTAACAGTGTCCAGAAGAGCCGTCGACTTCTCTGGGCTCAGAAGCATCTGGGATGGTCCAGTGGAAATGTAAACTGGGGTCTGATGAATTAGTATTTCATGTATTGGGTGGAATGGTTGCCGTGTGCTCTGGACCAAAGAAGAAAAGGATCATACGGACTCTTCCCAGCAACAAGTCCAGAAGCCAGGGTCTGTCATAAATCAAGTGCCCTTGACAAAGGGCACTTCTGTGATGGCACCATTTTGGAGCACAATGTGCTGCCATCAAGAAGACATCTTTTCCAGTGATGCCCATGCATATTTCAACATGACCACATTCTGCACACATTACAAAGTACTGGCTACGAAGGTAGAGAATACAGGTACTTGACTGGCCTGCCAGCAGTCCCGACCTGTCTCCAATAGAGAATGTATGGCACATTTTGAAGTGCAAAATGTAACAATGAAGACTTTGTACTGTTGCCCATAAAACTTTTACGTGAACAATATGACAAAATTATACATGAAACACTCATCACTTGGTGTCTTCAGTCCATAAATGTCTTTTAAGTGTTGTGAAAAGGAATGGCAACATTACAAACAGTAAATGCTTTACTGTTTTTTGAAAATGTGTTGTAAGAACCAAAATTGGAATATGTGTTTATTTGTGACAAACAAACAAACAAACAAACAAACACACAAACAAAAACAAACAAACAAACACACAAAAACACAAAAACAAACAAACAAACAAACAAACAAACACACAAACACACAAACAAAAACAAACAAACAAACACACAAACAAAAACAAACAAACAAACACACAAACACACAAAAACAAACAAACAAACAAACAAACAAACACACAAACAAAAACAAACAAACAAACACACAAACACACAAAAACAAACAAACAAACAAACAAACACACAAACAAAAACAAACAAACAAGCACACAAATAAAAACCAACAAACAAACAAACAAAACTATAAAAGTCTTGAGGGAAACATTTAATAATGTTTGCTGTATTGTAGGCAATGATATACAAGTCATAGTAAATTTAGAAATCACTATCTCTTTTTGTGTGTATGTTTTCCACACTGTCTCAACCTTTTCTGATTTGGGGTTGCATATAATGCTGCATTTTATTGTCAGTAATGGTAACAGTGTTGTGTGTTGGGAAATAGTCATTTGTTCAATTACTTATTACTGAAAAAAGTAACTCTGTCAGTAATGTTGTAAATTTATAACACCATTATTCCCATCACTGCCTATGAAATACGCCTTTAAAACATGTGGACATGGTAGATATACTGAGGAACATGGCCTCATAGGTGATTTTTTTTACCCCAAGAATATATTTTCATTTACATATTTTTGATCTTTTAGTGTTGTTTGAAAAAATTGTTCCCTTCTGTGATGTAATGCTCAGATGTAATGCTACAGGCGCCCCTGTCTAAACATGCATTCACTTGCTTCCATCTTTTCAACATGCTTTTCCTTGGTAATAACTTGGCCATATTAGCCCAGTGGAGACATTTCACCTTGTTTTAAGCAAAAAAACAAATGTGCTCTAACTTTCCCAACCTCTCCTTTCACTCGTACCCCTCTAATAGCTCTCATCAGCCTCGTGAGCAGGCGTGAGAATGAGGCGGACAGACATTATCTGAGAAGCATTCCACACACACTTACAGCAGCCAGCATGCATCTCTGTATCAAAGTACAGCGTCTGATGTGTGCTGAGAGTCTGAGAGCATCTCAGATATCAACATTGTTCACACTACCAAAAACAGAAGCGTGACACAAACACTTAAAAAAACCATAAGGGTCCAAACACTGTAATATTCTAAATGAATTGAAGAGAATTTACAGTATGTCTATGGTAAAATAGTTAAACTGTGTTCTAACTGTGTCCTGTTCTCCTGAAAACACAAGAAGGGAAATAAGACCTTTTGTTGATTATTTGGATTGGATTTCATGTTGGTTAGTAGAGGCCACCCACAGAGAAATCGCATTGGTCGAAAGTTGTGAGCTAAGGCTGTGGATTTGATTCCCTGGGCCAGAAAATGGATAAAATACGGGCTTTAAAAGGTTTGAGTAAGGTGAGCGATTAATTTAATAATGAAACTATGCTCAGTTTTCAAGAACTAAAGGGTCACAAAACACCAAAACACATGTTTTGAGCTGTTGACAGTCGTATATGTGTCCCACACTGCTAAAAACACTATTAGGACACATATATTTCACTAAAAAGTGAAAATCGGTTGTTTTTGTGTTATTTCGAGCAAATCCGTACTTCCGGTTTGAAAAGAATTTTTGAAGCTGCGTCACGACCATGAGATCTTAGCGTGTATTCTAGCAGGTAGACTGGACGTCTGTACCTGGGAGTACCTTATTACGTCTCTGAGTGTGCTGCAATCATTCATGAGTAAGACTTGGTTCAAACCAATCAGCACGCTCTATTGTGTATGCGGTGCAACTTCATTAATATGCATGATAGCTTCCAAGACAGTTACAGTTACAGTGTTCAGACAGCAGAGAGACGCCACGTTGATTTGTTTGGAGATAAGGGTCATCAGTGTTGCTTTTATAATTTGCTGCAGTGAAGGTTTTCATTTTCCCTCTATGAGAGCGCAGCTGGACTCACGTGTGGAATACAGTGCACGCAACGCGAGACAGAAACAGTATTGTAAGTAACATTTTTTACCTGAGGGCTTTTCTCGTCTGGAAATAGTGAAATCCGGATTTGCCGCTCGTCTCCTTTTAATAAAGACGCGGCTCCAGTTGGTGTTGATTGTCCTGTCTCTACAGATTTGGTAAGTGAGCGATCAGTGGTCTTTGTTTGTTTATTCAGAGGCAAAGTTAGTTCGTATCGTCAGCAGTACTCTTTCAGTGTTTAAAGGCGGACCTTAGTCAAATGATTTCTAAGTTACTAAAGTTTACCATACGTTAATATCACTAAAATATTATGGACTGAAAAATTATACTTATTATCATGCTACTTATTTAATTTAATTATTATTTTTTATTATTATTATTTCTTTTATATCTAATTACATATACAGTTGGAATCAGAATTATTAAACTCCCTTTGAATTTTAATAAATATTTTAAATATTTCCCAAAATATTTTTTTCTTTTAGACAAAGTCTTATTTGTTTTTGGCTAGAATAAAAGCAGTTTATAATTTTTTAAACACCATTTTAAGGTCAATATTATTAAGCTATATTTTTTCGATAGTCTACAGAACAAACCATTATTATACAATAACTTGCCAAATTCCCCTAACCTGCCTAGTTAACCTAATTAACCTAGTTAAGCCTTTAAATGTCACTTTAAGCTGTATAGAAGTGTCTTGAAAGATATCTAGTAAAATATTATTAACTGTCATCATGGCAAAGATAAAATAAATCAGTTATTAGAGATGAGTTAAAACTATTATGTTTAGAAATGTGCTGAAAAAAAAAATTCTCCCCGTTAAACAGAAATTGGGGGAAAAAATAAATAGGGGGCTAATAATTTTGACTTAAACTGTATGTATATTTTATATAATTACTATTTTAACAGTATTCCTAATTATGCTTTGCATATTTGTCTTTATAAGTTTGTGGTGTTTTGTAATTTGTAACTGTATTTGATTTTTTTTTACTTATAATATTGCCATCTGATTCTGTATTAATTCAATTCAATATTACCAAGCAGAAAATGACACAAAAAAGAGTAATCATACAAATATTTCGGCAGCTGATAAAGAGTGATGGGGAATCATGTTATTTGTGGAGTTTTCTTGTTTCTCTCATTGGAGAATGTAAACATTTTGTTAAAGAGCGACTTTACACAATATTCCACATTGCAATACTCACAATACGTGGCTTGAATGGCGGCTTGACCTTCCTCTGTTCTAGAAGTACCCAGTCGATGTCTTTGAAGAATGGATGCACTTTAATAGCGTCTTCCAGTCCTTGGGAAACTACACAACCCAACCGCTTACTGGGGCTCTTCGTCATGAACTAAACATTGGTGCCAAAACAAAGAAAGAATCAGACAAACAACACACTAAATGTTTGGGCAAAGATGCTGTTAAATAGAGGATTGAGACTATATGCAGTTGGGATGGTCAGGGATGATGTATGCGTGCTGTAAGAATGTATTAATGTACGAATGTATGCTCTGGAAAGATGACATCTTGAGTTGACCATGTGGCCACAGTGCCATTAAGACAGATCACTGTGTGACACGTTTCTGTCCAAGACAAACACACTGTCTTTTCCACAAGGCTTTTGCAAATGGACAAAGCACAGCCAAAGTAAATCTTGGACATGTGAAGGAAACAGTGACACACAAAAAAGCACTGTATACACACAAAACTGATATCAGATTCAAGTGTGAACCGATCACCGCCAAAGAATGACCCATTTGCACAAAACAACAATAACAAATAAAGGATGTACAGTTGCACACTGTTGTTTGGAATCTCATGGCAATTTGTAACCTTTGTAACCTTGTAAGAATTGGTCATGCACAAAAGCAGCAAACATGTTGCTTTAAACTTTCATTAATCTGTATAAACGACATGTATAGCTCTGACGTCAGGAAGTTCTCAGATAACATTATCCTAAAGTTTATTTTTTGATGTTTTTTTTTAAGTTTAATGAAGGTGTAGGCTATACGGTGCATTGTTAATTGTAGAACTCCTCCAGAAAGAGAGTTCTGAAAGAGATCAAGTCTCAACCAGGTAATAAAAAGTAATGCAAAAGTAACTAAAAAGTAACATAACGCATTACGTGGAGTTTATTTATAAACTAATTTCGAGAAGATCACGTGCTTATGATTACTTGCAGCTGCTCCGCATTATCCCATTGATTATTCACCAATCAGACGATCCCTAGGCCACTATAAGAGCCCTAGGTCTCAGACATCTTCGTTTTGAAGAATCCCCCCTTCCACTCCTACTCCTCCTCCTTTTCTAGATGGGTGGCATAGTGGCCCAGTGGTTAGAACTGTTGCCTCACAGCAAGATTGAAAGACTGAGATTTCTGAGGACTCATTCCATAGAAAAATATTTCAGTGTCAGGGATTTATTTCTTAACTATCTGGATGAGCAAACCAGCCACTCAACCTCTGAGGACTCTTCAGAGACTTAATTTACTTATTTTACATATTTAATTATTTAATTTTACTTCTTCATTCTATTCTCTGTTGTAATTCACTACACTATGTTGTCATTGTTATTTGTTCATTGACTCATTGTATGGGATTTGTCCGAGACAGTGCCAAGTGTTGTGTGCGTGTGTGTGTGTGTATATATGTATGTGTTTCTTTGTGGTTATTCTTGAAAAATCTAATAAAATATAATTATCAAAAAACAGCCAACGTTTCTGTGGGGAGTTTGCACTTTATCCCCATGCTCGCGTGGGTTTCCCCAGGTCCCCCGGTTTCCTCCCCCCATCCAAAAACATGCAACTTAAGTTAATTGATTACTCCAAATCTACTTGTGTAGACTAGCTTTTCAGTTGGTCAGTGGCGCGGTTAATTTAAGTTCCCTAAAATAGCAACGCCCCAACAATGCACTATAACACTCCTCCTTATAGACTGTAATGATTCCACAAAGTGGCGCAAATGGATTTCCTATTTAAAAAAGGTGGTGCAAAACGTAAAAATTGGGGTTGCGCTGGTCTGAAAATAGCAACAAATCATGCCAAACACATCTTGCGCCTTATTGCATCGGGTATATAATAGGGCCCATAGTCTCAATGCTTAAGAAAGTAACATGAAAAAAAGTTTTGTAAACTAACTCATGTCTGATTTTTAGGGAATTCCCCCAAGTGATTTTTTAAGTAAATCAGGACACATACCGCTTTAAGAATACTGACTGCCTCTTTGCTGAGCCAAACAGGATACAGGACGTCATCATGGAGAATGGACTCAAAAAGGTCGTCCTCATTATCTGCTTCAAAAGGAGGCTGTCCGGCCATCATCTCATACATCAGCACACCTAGAGCCCACCAGTCCACTGATGGACCATACTCAAGCTCCTGAAGGATCTGCAAGAAATTCATCAAAACAACAACAACAATGTTATTTAAAACTGCTAGAAAATAGAAAATAGGACACATCAATAGGATCAAGTCCAGATGAAACCACTATCAAGCACAATATTCTGTGCTCATTTAGGGAGAAAAAGCTGCAGATTTTCAAGTAATAAAACATAGTTTGGGGAAAATAAATATTACTTACAAATTAAGCCAGGAGAAATCAAGACAATTGTCACTATTTGCTAAATCGATGTATATCTATATGTGCTAATGTGAGAGTAAATATTTGACTTTTTTTTAAGATATAGTCAATTAACAAAATGTTTTTATAAATACTAATAATCTTTTATAGTTTTGATAAGAATGAATCAGTAAATAATGAGACTAATGGGCATTTGTGCTTGTGAGGGTGTGAAATACTGTACCTCTGGGGCAATATAATCTGGTGTGCCACAGAATGTTGTGGTTGTGATGCCATCCAGGATTCCCTCCTTACACATGCCAAAGTCTGCCAGCTTACAGTGACCTTCTGCATCCAACAGAATGTTGTCTAGTTTCAAATCCCTGCAAACAGCAATATTAACACACATGAAGAATGACAATCTCAGAAATGAAACATACAAGAGCCGTCACTGTGCTGTTATCCCTTCACAACACACACATTTGTATTTGAAGGGTTCGTTTTGATACTTGAATGTACATATTAGCAGTGTTGGGGCTAACACATTACAAGTAACCCGAGTTACATAATAATATTACTTTTCTAATTAACGAATGAAGTAACTTAACTAGCATTACTTTATAAAATAAGTAATAATATTTGAGTCACTTTAAAAATTGGTTGTGGAAAAAGGAATAGACTCTTTATTAGTTTTGTTTCTTTTTATTAAACAATTGTATTTGTATTGCTTAAAGGTGATATATTAACTGAACTTCTCGAGTGTGATATGTTTTGCATACTAATGAAGCATTTTTGTAGAAGTAGATGAAGCTGATAGAAATGCAAAGTCCTGATTGTCCAAAATTAACTTTAGCTCTGCAGCAAAACTTCCTGTGAGCACAGAATTTGCAGTTAAATGCAGAATTCATAGAAAAAGAGGATGTATGTATGGGTGCGACCAATGGAGGACTGGCGAATGATTTACAAGTGATGAATTCCCCTAAACTCCACCTGTTAATATCAGCTACATACTGTATAAAAGCACGAATCAGGAAATGAATGTTATCGCACACCTCCTGAATGCAACGTTTGCATTGCATTGAAGACACCAGAATTCTGTGAATGAAATTATTCATTTGTATCTAATAAATTACTAATATTTTTGAGAGTGAAGAAACCCCTCTTCTGAGCTTTTTTATTGAACACGCATGGAATTGATTAATTATTGCAACATAATGTGACAAGAGTTACTTTTTAGTTTAATTAATTTGCTTTCAAAAATAAATTGCTGACTTATTGTGTCACAATGAATTACGCAGTCAATGAGAGAATGTGTTCATTATTTTGAAGCCTCGAAGAAAAGGAAAAAGGGATCGTCTCAATGGACAGTGATTTTACTTAAAACAAATCGTACAAAATTAGCAAACACATTGCTTTAAACTTTCATTCATCTGTATATACGACATGTCTAGCTCTGGGGTCAGGAAGTTCTCAGATAACATTATCCTAAAGTTTATTTTTTTGATCCGATTTCGATCTGGTGAATGAAGGTGTAGGTTATACAGTGCATTGTCAATTGTAGAACTCACCCAAAAAGAAAGTTCTGAAAGAGCTCAAGCCTTAACCAGGTCATAAAAAGTAATGCAAAAGTAACTAAAAATGCATTTCTAACAATAAAAAGTAATTACTACTTTTTTGGGGAGTAACTCAATAATGTAATGCATTCATTTACATTCTAAAGTAACTTGAAAGTAAAACTAACACTGCATATTAGTAAACACTATAATGGCATATAATATGGAGCTTTAAGATATAATCAAGAGCTGTCTTTAGCTATGTTTCTATTCAAACATGCAAATTAAATTAGTATTAGAGTATTAGAGTTGGGCGATGTCAACCAATTTGACATCGTACTATGTCTAATGTGAAACATTGCGATGGACGATGGCATCGTCATCATGTGAAAAGCGGGGTGGGGGGTGGGGTTTGGGTGTCTGAAGAGCGAGAAGGGATCCGAGGGTGAGAAGAGTGCGTGACTTCTTTGAGGACCGGGAGGGAGACGCGCGATTTCCAGGAGATTATTACTCGTTTGTGGGAATTATGAGTCCCACAAATGCATAGAAACTCCCGGAACTTCCGGAAGACTTGGGATGTCTGAATTTCACGTTTAACAACTGTAGTGAGTTGCGATCCAGCGGTACATCTTTCATAAACTCTCCGACGTGCACTGCTCCCTGCCTGGAGCTCAGAGGAGCACATGCCAGCGTGTGGCTGTGTTTGTGTGTGGTCACGTGATGTGCATTTTCAGCGGATGGAGGGCTGTTCAGAAATGCTAGGTAAAACGGTGTGGATGTGGATCATTTTCGTTCTAAAATTTATTTAATTTTCGTTAAATTACTTTTGTTCTAAATTAATTTGAATATCCAATAAAAAGATAATCCCACTCAGTTATGCAATTACATTTTTATATATAAAGCTATATAGAGTATACAGTTGAAGTCAGAATTATTAGCCCCCTTCGAATTTTTTCCTGTCTGATTATGTCTGATAATATTTTTTCTTCTGGAAAAAGTCTTATTTGTTTTAATTTAGCTAGAATAAAAGCAGTTTTTAGTTTTTTAAACACCATTTTAGGAACAAAATTATTAGCCTTTTTAAGCTATATTTTTTCTCGTTACTCAACAGAACAAACCATCATTATAAAATAACTTGCCTAATTACCCTAACCTGCCTAGTTAACCTAATTAACCTAGTTAAGCCTTTAAATGTCACTTTAAGTGGTATAGAAGTGTCTTAAAAAATATCTAGTAAAATATTATTTAGTCATCAAGGCAAATAGAAAATAAATCAGTTATTAGAAATAAGTTATTAAAACTATTATGTTTAGAAATGTGTTGAAAAAAATCTTCTCTTTGTTAAACACAAATTGGAAAAACAAAAACAAGCGGTCTAATAATTCTGACTTCAACTGCATATTGTACATTTATATCCTTTATGTACAAATGTGTTCCTTTGAAAGAGTTCCACTCCAGTGACAGCTCTTGTACCTTCATTTCAGAGAGTGAAAAAATGTTTAGTAAAGTCACTCAAATGCAAAGGTCACCATTGAATGAACTAAATTAAACAGGCCAAAAATATTTACACAAATTTATCAAACTCAAAAACTGTAAAATAATTTTTATATATATTTACTTGATTGGTAACATATGGATTCTCTTAACTGCAAATTGAAATTTTAGAACAAAATGCTGAAATAACTGAAATAATGTAACTGGAATAATCTGCACTACAGGACCTGTAGTTAATGTATTTACTATTATGAACTAATAATGAACAATGCTTGAACAGCATTTATTAATCATAATTTAGCATATACTAAAGCATTATTAAAAACGTTGTGCTTGTTTAGTCATTATTGTTGCACCACCAACAATGAACCACAGTTTTTTCATTAGTTAAATCAAAAGTAACAAATAAATACTTTTGATTATCATCATGTTAATGAATACATTAACTAACATTAACTGTATTTGTTATATTGTAAACTTATCCTACTCTGTTAAGCACATTTTATATAAAGCTTTATAGGGTATACAGTATATTGTACATTTATATCTTTTAAATGTGTACCTTTGAAGTAACTGATGCATGATGTAGATGGATGTTTCCAAATATTAAACAACTCTAGCGGAGCAGCAGGTAAATAATTTACTGACGCTCATATGTCTGATATTAGTTTGATCAAGCGGACAGTAATATCCTGATGCTTGCTCGTGCACATGGACAGACAGCAACAGAACTATCCATAACCAAACACACCAGACCCTCAACAGACAGACAGACTGACTGTCAGCAGAGTTCACACTTTCAGCTTGATCCCAGTTTGATGACACTAAATAAATAGTTTCAACCAATTTCAGATTTACAGTTATGATCAGATTGTAAATATGATCATAACAAAGACCACCTAAAGTACTCTTCATCTACTAACAAATGAGGTAAATAACTTCTTAAACCCAAGTGCTATTTTGGGATTTCCGCATGGACTTTGCCTAACCAAATTTAAAAGCTTCTCAAATCCACATGCAGAGGTGTAAATGCAAAAATTTGGTAATATTTTAAAGAAAAAATTAATAATAATATATAATATAATAAAGAAAAATATAATATATATAATATAATAAAGAAAAAACCCTTTGAATTTTCATAAAACACTATTGAAAGTGTTTAAAATAACTGTATATGTTGTCTGTGTTATAATAAACACCTAAAAAAAAGAGGTGCTTTTTGTATTTTTTTTTTTTTTATCTCAAATTTGAAAGTGTACCTTTTAGGTTCTGTGTGGTCTAGGTTACCGTAATTAATTTTGGTGGTTCCTGCCATGTCTGTAATCACAGGAAAAAAGAAAAATGTCTCTACCATAATCTATGCAAAAGTTATTGTATTCCAACTGATGAGAGGTGCTATAGAAGCCACAGGGACCAATCATTGTTTTCATATTTTACTATTCTTTTGTTTGATCAAACATAATTCACTGTGTTTGGACCACATCAGACATATAAAAGGAAATGGCCCTGAAGCGCACAGCATAAGGTAAGAAATGACCGCTTTCTGTGCTATCTGGGGCTGCTTATTGATCATAAATGTATTGTTTTCACTTCTGCGCCATGGAAACACCGCAATTCATTTGACAACTGTTTGACTTGTGAATATAATTCAGGTTAAAAAAAAAACAAGAACCGTATGAGAACAGGCAAAAGCTTTTATCTGATCTATAACTTGTACATGTGTCATAAATGGACCATATGAAATTTATAAAAAAAATTAACCAATGTTCAATACCCAGCTTGGGTGTCCAAAATACTGTGTATTTAAGTGTAAATAACTTTTGTACAGTAGAATAAAAACCGAAGTGATGTAAATGTGCATAAAATATAGCTTCTACACTTTCAAACGAAACCCAGGGGGTCTGGTGCAATGCTAGCCCTTTAAATCTTAAAGGGGAAAGTCGATGACGTTATGTAGAGTTTGTATTAATTAACACGATTTTAAAAAATGCAAACCAAATTAGAATTCCAAATAAATACTTGATACTTTCTTGCGCTGTCCCGAAAGTCACAGATTATCATCAAAATTATATCCATCAACATCTTTTTCACTTGCTTCTTTTTCCACTCATAAGTACTCCGAATAACTTGGGCACATTCATTTAGTAGAATTTGAGCATTGCACTTGAAAACAAAATTGGTAACATTCAACGCCTGGTTGAAAAGTTGCTAACAACTTGTGATTGGAGCATTAAAATGCATGTAAAAACCATATAGAAACCATTTTTCTTGTTATATGAACACAGGCTGGGGCACAGCATGTCATCATAAAGTGAATACGTCCAGCATAAGAAGGT